TAAGAAGGGTGCAGGATCCGTGGGTAGTGACTGGTGTTGCTTTGTTCGCCTGCGAGGACACCCAATGTTTCAGTCTTGCTCAGCTGGCCAGCAACTTTTGTTCGGCCTGGTAGGACGGTCGGATGCCCGACACGACAGAACAAAAAAAACAAGGGGCGAATGACAAGACGCCGGCAAAAGAAACGCAACGGTAGCGCAGCGTGCTCTTTCTTTCTGCATATGCCGTCCCCCCCACCACACCGGGACGCCGTCGTGCGAAGTCCAACAGTGCCCCCCTCCTTCTCCTCCACCTCGCCATGCACCGCTGACCACTGAACGTCCGCACCGCTCCACCGCCGCGCCGGCGTTTTGTGCACACGCTAGGAACGCCGTCAGTCCAGCGGCGAACCGGCAGAAGAGCGTGCTGCCCACTCGACTCCTCTCTGGCAAAGTCTTTTCGGGCTTCCTGTTTGCCGAGTGGGACTCTCTGCCTTACCCCTCCGAGGCGCTGCACTCCCCTCTCCGTCGACCGTCACTTGGCAGCTCGACGGCAGAGACGAGGGTCTCCGCAACGCGCGGTGGAACGTACACTTCGGTTCATGGTCTAGATCTTTTCGGACCCAAGGCCGCCACGACCTGCCAGGCACATGCGTGGTTTTGCCCTGACGAAGACCCCCTCACTCGATTCGCCTCGCCGAGGGTGCCCCTCCCCGAGCCATGCCCACTCAGCCCCCCAATGCCGGTGCCGGCGCGGACGCCCACGGCCGCTGTGACAGGTGCTCGCGTGGCATGGAACGGAGTGAGCAAAAGGCCCAAGATGCCCCACCAACTTGGCGCAGTAGAAAGCGTGGTGTGAGGCCTTTTTTCATGGAGCGGAGGGTTTCTGACGTCGACGTGTCGTGGTGATGACTCGACCAGTGGCTGGATAGTGGCTTTTTTCTGGCGTACTGCAATCAGTCGGTAGGCATCTCTGATCAGAATCTTCTTCTTCCCGCCAGCCTTTTGGGTCATGATCGTGAGGGGTCTCGGCATATCGACGTGGCGAGACCTCTGCTGGGCATCCACGGCAAGTTCCACACACACACACACACACACACACATCCCCGTGCGGCACTTGCAGAGTCTTTTTTCGGTTCCGACTTTTCCCAAAGAGTCGGTCAAGATCGACGTCGGCGCCCGGTAACAGGAGGCAAGCTGAAAGACCTTTTGTCGGGATATGCAGGCCGCCGAGAAGCTTTCTGTTGAGACTTGAGCATGTGATGAGCACAACGTCGTGGCGTCCTCGTGGCATTAGCCGATGGGCTGTTGGGACTGGTATGACAGACCGATACCAAGGTAGCACGCGTCATATGCATGCATGGCCAGCTGTATGGAAAACAAGCTCTGTTGGGGGAGGACTGGCATGAAGACGTTGAGTTAAGGTGACAATGTCGTCTTGCCCAACGCACCGCACGCCGAAGAGTCAGGAGCTACCAGCCACAGCCACTGATGCAGTCAAGAAGAGCCCCAATCGCCGCTTAATCCCTGTGACCCACAGAAAAAAAGGAAAAAAGATAGGAGATACCCACGGCTTCTTGTCTCCAGCACAGGCTACATAAACTCATCAAAATCGCCCCGAATCCATCGACCGGCCCCTGGTTCAGCCAGGGATTTGATTGCGAACGCGCCGTTGGTCTAGTGGTATGATTCTCGCTTAGGGTCACACCCTGAAGCACTGCTTGCGAGAGGTCCCGGGTTCAATCCCCGGATGGCGCCCACGTCATCACCAGTCTCCAGACTGTTCTTTTTTTGCAATTTTGCACACTGATTTTCCTAGCTTGTCTGACTGAGCATGAGCTTTTGATATGCCTCTCACAATCACGAGTCTCTGCTGAGCCTAGTTCGAGTCGTTGTCGCGTTACTCCATCGATGCACAGTCATCGTGTTAGTCAGTGCTGGCTACCACGTCCTCACGTCGGCTAGAATTACACGTGGGTCTCGGTACTGGTAAAAATTTCGAAATTTACATGTTGAGTATTAATGCTCGGACAACAAGATACAGCTAAAGGACAACTGCTTGAAATCAAAATTGTAGTAGTGGCAACGGGGATGAAGGCAGTCGGCGGGCGGCCATTTGAAAGATTGCACCATGAAGCCAAAACACCAACAAAGAATTATCAAAAACATACAACATCAGGGATTCGCTGGTGGTCACCCACCCAACTACTAGTCCGACCCTTACTGGCTTATCTATGGGAGAGCGGACGGGATCCCGGGTTCTCCAGTAGGTATGGTCGTATGTGCTAAGATGCATCGTACGCGCGGATCATGACTCTTTTCTCAGTCTTTGCGACCAAAGCCATTGTAGCGGAGAGGAATGGTATAACGCCAAGGATATCAAATACTGCTAAGTTATTCGCAACTGTTGATCTATGCCGAGTGGTGTCCACTCAGCTGATGGCGTACGTTTATTCATGCTCCCAATGTCTATGCTTCGTGCTGATACCTACCTCGGCGATCATGTGCTTTCCCTAGAGGTTCATGGCATCGGCATGTTTAATCGGCTCTTCGACGAGAGTCCTGTTATTTAAGTTAGCTTCTAGTCTTCTAGCCCTGGGAAGATTAGAAGCCACGAGTTCTCATCATTGACATGTGTCCAGCATAGGCCAGGATTGGATCGGTCTGGAAACTCGGAGACGCCGTCGAATAAGGCGAAACCTGAGCTCCGCCACAGATAAGGGAACCAGCAAAACTGGAAGTTTGAGAAGACTTTCCTCTCCCAGATGGAGCACAGCGCAGGAGGCTGATAGGGGCTGATCTCGCCGTACCCATCAAAGGGCCGCATCCGGGCCTTAGTTAGCGGCTATTCCATGCCGAAGGTGTTGAAACTTCAACAGCGCTTTTCATCTGATAGTCTTTGGACTCCAGGTTTCTGAACCATTTTTGCTATTTGGCAGGCCATGCAGTTGTTATGATCACCAAGCTTCTTGGCATGACCTTGATAGGTGTTTTTCTTTGAAACGAGAGAAAGCCCTATTTCCAGCGGCCCAAACAAATGAAGCAAAATCAGAATAACTCTGAACTCGAAGCGATTTGGTTATGTAGGCTTATTACCTGGAGTAGAGCCCACAGTCCCAAGCATAAGACATGTATCAACGACCGATAGATAGCCAGCTGCACGAAATTTATCTTAGCATAAAATTGAAAGGATGTGTTTGATGTATGTGGGAAAAGTCACAGCCCCTTTTCCCTTCTCTAGACCTGTGGCGCACCCTTCATACCACGGTCAACGATGGCCCACTGATTGCCTCGCGGTGTCCTCTCCTTGTGCTTTTCTTTATTTCATTTCTGTTTATTCTGATCTTTCTCTGAGATCAATCTCTAGTCTCCAATGCCTGCCTACCTGAAATCACAGTCAAGCCTTGTTTCTTTTATCATTCTCAGTATGACCATGAATAAAGTCGGGGACGCAAATCCAGAACTGCCAAGTTGATCAAGTTTCGTGGGATGAAGGCAGTGTTATTGATGCCCTGCTCAACACCGACAGGTGAGTATATGCTTGTGAAGCGGTGTTTGTCTTTTTGAAGAGTAAGACCTTCCAGTCCTTCCTCGCTCGAGGACCGGGAGCAACCTTACACGGCGACCTATGTCAGGACCCCTGCGGAGCCACCAAGGGCCTGCCAAGCTAAGGGGCTGGCTAGGGGCTAAGGGTCACGAGAGAACGTATATATAGGCTGCGGAGGGCCTCCCTAAGCTACGGAGGGCTAGAATTTAGATATATTCCAACCCCTTACCTACGTTCTATTTACTACGGACCGCGTATAGAAGACCTCTTCACTCTACTCTAAACAACGCTCTGACAACCTAGTACAAAACGCTTCGAAAGGAATCAAGTCACAATTTCGATCTTGCATCGCAGACAGCATTCTATTTTGTACTTCGTATCGGATTTTTGATCCAAACTGATCCTGATACGTTCGCTTATGTTTGTCGTTGCTCGGCCACAACACTTACTTGTCGCAGCTTCGCAGTAAGCTTCGCAGTATCAACATAATTAGGGACAAATAGCAGAATACGTCGTCACAATGAGCCAGTTCTTGCAGAACTGGCATGCACCTACACTACTTTCGTATGTTTGCCATCCGGGGTTCGAGGACCAAGCAGGAGGACATCATAGGGTTTCCCTTGTCACTAGAGCACACGGCTCTCGACTGCGTAGTATCTGTCCGGCCCGGGTAGTCCATGGACTGCTCGGTCGATCCTTGAGCTTCAAGGAAGTGGTTTGGAGTGACCTAGAGTGGTGGGCCACAGGTGGGACCTGTTGTCCGGGCAAGCAATGGAATGAGGCGAGCGCGCGTAAAAGAAAATCCTGGCCGAGAACCGTTTTCCGCGTAGGCACGCAAGGCAGCAACCTTGTAGCTCCCCACATCATCCCCACGCCCCCATCGTGATAGCTTCACAAGCCCTATCTCAATCGCGGGCCACAGCAAACTCACGACCCACACCGAGACGTTGCTGCCTTGATCTACTCATCTGCCATCGCCGCTTCCCATCGACCGGCCCCTGGTCCAATCAGGGATAGTTCAATTAACGCGCCGTTGGTCTAGTGGTATGATTCTCGCTTAGGGTTACACCCTGAAGCATTGCTTGCGAGAGGTCCCGGGTTCAATCCCCGGATGGCGCCCAATCTTTTGCCGGTTAGGCCCCCGAAGGCCGAGGGAGGGCACTTGGGGGCCCGTGGGCAAAAAGCACTGACTGACCCGGTCAGTGTAAGTAAAGATCCCTCCCTGACTCAACGGACGCATTTGAAAGTATCCCGAAGTTCACTCGCCGAGACAGCCTAACGCCTGGCTCAAGATTTGGCAGCCTCAAAGTCTAGTGCGTTCAACGTTGTGATCGATGCAGTATTTTTTGTCGCTAGTATTGCCTCCCGAAACGGCGTTATGTTGGTCTTTCCCTGCTTGCCCGTCTATTGTTCTGATGTCTATGGGGCGTCTATTGGAAGATAACTCAAACAGCCTTCTTCTACTTAGAAAGCTCTGTTACGCGACGTTGTCGAGCTTGAAACCTCCATTGACCCTGGTCTGGAAGAATCCTGTAGGGTCGTACTCAAGGGCAACGTCTTTCATCAGAGCAATGTTCTCAGCGCCGTACGTGCTGAGGGGATCCTGCTCGGGAGCGGCATAGGGCAGGTAGCGGAAGGGGATGTTGCCGTCAACTGACTTAGCGTATGCCTCGAGCTGGTGGGTGATGGTTGCCAGGCGGGAGCTGAAATAGGCCTCCTCGGCGCGTGTATTGAGTGTTGCCTCACCCGCGAAAAGAATGCCATCGTGCGTCAGACTGTCTTGTAGTCCGAGAGCATTTCCGCCGGAGAACTTGGCAACAACCTTGGGCAAGGGCTGGAAGACGAAGTTGAGCGACCAGGAGGCGTTTGGGAAGGCCTTTTCGGCGTCTGCGACGAGGGTGTGAAACAGTTCCTCGGCTTTGTTCATGATGCGCTTGTCGTTGTGAAAGCAGAGCGTGTACCAGGAGTTCCTATCAGGTAGCATCAGCATCAGTGCCTCCGTTCGACATTTCACCATGTTCAACTGACCTCTTGCCACCGTTATCTTGCATGACTGCAAGGAGTTCGCCGTAGGTCCACCTCGTGCGCATATCCATGACAGCCGTCATCTGGTCCATCCCGCGGAAAGGTCGAGCGTCCTCATCGCCCGTGGCACTCATGGGGATGGTGCCCATCATTGGAGCTGCAGCACCTGCATTGTAGGTATACATGACAATCATGCTGTCTCCGGGCTTCTCCTCGCTGTCGGAGATGACCTCGATCATTGAATCCACAAGCTCGTCCTTGTGCTTCCAGTCGACGAACATGATACCGCCGTACAGGGTCTTCTTGGGGAAAGTAGCCATGTCGAAGCGGGTTACAATACCAAAGTTGCTACCGCCGCCTTTGAGGGCCTTGAAGAGCCGAGGGTTGTCGTGCTTGTTGGCGTTGACTGTACTACCGTCGGCGAGGACGACCTCGTAGTTCACAACGTCATCGCAGGCAAAGCCTCGCTCGGCAATGAGGAATGAGGTGCCTCCTCCGAGGGTGAGACCTGCGACACCAACATTTCCGATGCGACCGCCTGTGACACCAAGTCCATGCTTTTCGGTTTCTGCGAGGACGCTCGCCCATCGTGAGCCAGCACCAATCGATGCGATCTATAATGTCAGCGGAAGATCGAGCAAGTTAGATCAGATTGAGATATACTTTGCCACACGTCGAATTGTGTACAGACGTCTTGTTGAAAAGAGAAAGGTCGATCGTCACGCCATTGTGGACGTTATTGCCTCCCCAGTGACCGTGACCACCGCCGCGGACGGCGATGTTCCAGGATCCGGCACCGCTCAGAGGAGCTAAAGCCTTGACCGCGGTGGACACATCAGCTACAGTCTTGGGCTGAAGGATGCAGAATGGCCTCATCTCCGCCACAGTGGCCGAGTAATACGTTCCCAGAGCCCGAGTGTACGTGTCATCCTCGCTTGCTGGCAGCAGGAGGCTTTCACCAAGTCCGGCATCAATGAGCGCATCACACTACAAAGCCCTACGAGTCAGCTTGTTCTCGCAACAAAGTATGTAACCTGGGCACCAGCAAGACCGCTATATGTCTAGTCAGTATGGGGTCGAAGCAACTTACGCTTTTGAACCCGGTGGCCTGGGCCTGGCACACGCCGGCCAGGAACGTAGCAGCGGCGACAAGATTAGAACTGCGAACCATGTTAAAAGAATGTGATGAGCCGCAAGGCCGTATGAAAGAATGAATGGCTGTAAGAGCTGGTGAGACTACTCATGGTGGGAACATGGTGGCCACGAGGGTGATGTGGCCAAGTTAAAGCACGTCGCGCATCTGCTGGTATTCTCTCCATCAAGCCTTTGGCATGTTGAACAACTCGTGATACCCGTTCCTGTATCCGAAAAACACCCTTGCGCTCAGGGGAACGGCCCTGATTATTCGGCAGGAGACTTACAATCTATTGGCTAGTACGGCCTTGGCATGCAGCATTGAATGACATGCAAGGTACTCGTGCATGAGGTGCAGTTCCGGCGGAAGCAACCCATGCTTAGTGCGCCAGGGTTCACGGAGGTACAGTCGTTGGAGATTGCTCTCTTCATGGTTTTAGCAAGCCTGCTCGGCTCACTTGCTAGGCCCCGAGCGAACCGGGAATGCGAATTCTAGTGAGGACCGAGGAATAGGACACATGGCGGGGCCCCGTCCATCACTCTTGTGCTGCGTAAGTTGCTCGAGAGAAAGACGATGATTTGAGTCGATATTGTGTGTTGTGTGTTCTCGGCTGTTTGAACGAAAGACCCTCCTAATGCTGAATACGATCCGGCCAAAACTGCGTGGACAACGCGCCCTAGTATTTGTGCCCGAATACAGCCTCATTCCGGTGTCCCTATTATTCACCAATATACGCCTGCCTGGCAACATGGACTAAAGAAAAAAAGCAACTCTGCGGATGTGTGCTGTGGGAATGACGATGCAGACAGACAAATATGCCTAGAATACTGCGCACTGCCAATTCGACCTGGTCCAAAATCCCCGCCTCGTTGCTCCATCAAGACACACGAAACTGCGCTGCATGCAGGACGAATTGAGCGTAGCATCCATGACGGGCAGAGGGGTGCTAACCTCTTTTCTTGGTATCATGAACCCATTTATGCTTCTCTGATCCTTCCGGGCTCTTCCCGAAAAGTCACCTGGCGCCACAGAAAGCACATGTCGTCAAGTAGAAGTGACATTGTTGGAACCCCGATTCTTTTTCTGCTAGGGCTACATATACTCTAACGCCTGAGCTAAGATGATTCACATCCCCGCATGTGCCTCGCGGCAACAGTTCCGGCGGACGCTGTCCAAGCCCAGGGTTCCTAAACGCGCCAACCCCGCCCCTAGGCTACCCACCAGTGGGTGACGCCAGGCCAGCTGAGGGGACATCGGGCGATCCTTTTGTCCACGGACTGATGTTGATCAGTGTGTCGGAGCTCAAAATCAACGACAAAAGCTGACTTGCAGTCGATTCTTGTTACTTTCTTCCTCCGGAAGAGTATGCTGTTCCCCGGTCACAAGCGCGTGAGCCATGTGCCAGCAAGTCGCTACCGAACCCGTGTTTCTGGACCATAGGACTGCCCAGGAGATTCTCGGCATGTGAACCAACTCCGATGCACCAGTGTGGCGAAGCCAGGGGGTAAATTCTTCGTGGACACCAACCCCTGGATCAGATTGAACACCTCTTTTCTGCCGCTCCAATCCTTGAATCCATGCAGGGAAAGTAGACCATACTGGGAAGGGGGGGGGGCAGACCTTCGGCTCATAGTGGGACGAAAGCACTTTTTGTCTTGCTTGGCTCCTGGACTAGGGTTGCCTGACTTGCCATTCTGCTGTTGGCCCTCGGAAGTGAAACTGCCAGGAATACACTGCAGTCACAAGGATGTTGAAAGCGTCGCAAACTTCAGTACCCTCCAGGGGCTTCCCAAGTGACAAGTACAGACGGGAAATTGAATCTTGGGTTCAACTTTTCGTGTCGTTACCCTGTCCTCCAGCAATCTATGTCCGAACAGCACCAGATCCTACAGGCTTTTTGCCGAGTCCTAGTAAAGACGCACGTGAAGGGTTCCCGTCCAACAAAAAGCTGACACCTTTGACATGGAAGATCTGTGCAGGGATTGCCATGGCTACTTGGGTTCAAGTACTTGTCTTCTCCCTCTGATGTCGATCCGAGGGCGAATTTTCTCGCTGCCCTCTTTCAATCCTCAATTGCAAGCGAGGCCACCCACGGCAACAAACGAAATACACTCGAATCGTCGCGCACGTAAGTCGAAATGGAATACATCCCGCCCGAAGCGGTCGACAATGCCGCGACAAAGGTCCTCGCGTCCATCTGGCCAATGGTTGCCATATCAACAATCTTCTTCGCCCTTCGAATCTATTGCCGGGTCACCCGAAGTGGTCAGACGTGGTGGGACGACTACATCCTCGGCCTGGGGTGGCTACTTCTCTTGACGGCAGCCGCTGTCCTGACTGAAGCGATGCTCTTGGGCCACCTAACGCACCACGAGAAGGATCCCTTGAAAGTGGGCGTGTTAGTCCGCACGACACACACCTGCCATTTGCTCTCACTGGCCTTAACGAAGGCGTCATTTGCCGTCACACTGCTACGGTTCTCGTCGAAAATACAGAAATACATCATCTGGTTCATCATTGCCAGCATTGGCTTTCTCTTCATCTTCCATGTATTTGCACAGTGGAAGAAAGTCTGCGGAGATATATCACCATACGTGCTTCCTGGACAGTGTTGGGATGTCAAGAATCCGGGCATCATCAACATTGTCAGCTCTTGTAAGCGCCTCAATATTTTTCTCGCTGACCACCACCGGTCGCTAATAGTAGGCAATGTAGCCTATTCGGCTCTGACCGATTTCGTTCTTGCGTTTCTGCCCTGGAGAGTCATTTGGGGATTGCACATGAACAGGGCTGAAAAGATCAGCGTCAGCGTAGCAATGAGCTTTGGCGTAATGTATGACACATGAAGGCTACTGCGAGATATCTTCACGCATTCTGTGTTCAATTCTGGACTGCTAACAGCAAGCAGTGCTGGCGTGACGGGCATCATGAAGGCTGTACAGAGTGTCACCACCATGAATCCCTTGGACAAGAAGTGTAAGCGATCCGCTGCCCCACCGCGTCTACGAAAAAACATGCACTCATGAAGCCACTCCAGTTCTTCACAATATTCTTCTCTTCTGGGTATTCTCCCTCGCCGAACCGAGCTCGACCATCATCGCGGCCTCCGTCCCCGTCCTGCGCGTTCTCATCCGCGACGCCGGTCGCTCTACCAACTACGCTGGCTCCTCTCCAGGGCCCAATGGATACCTCAAGTCCACGAACAGCAAGTTTCATGTTCACTCGCAGGCAGCAACCAGACGGACAGCAGTCCACCCGTCGGAGGCTGCACTCGATGACGCTGACAGCGACCGAAGCATTCTCGGCAATGATCATCAAAAGTTCCCGACAGGTATTGCGATGACGACAGAGATCAGTGTTGAGTTCGAAGATGGAGGCGGGCAGCAGCAAAAAGGAAACGATTCGTACGAGATGCAGCCGTCGCGGCTGATGCGACGGACGTCTGTGTTGGGGGGCGATGCCGGGAGGTCAGTTTCTCGTCAAGTGTAGATCTATACATGGAGTTACAAGAAGTTGTTTGGGAAAGTCACTTATGTTCAATGCTGTAATCTCTTTTTGGAATGAGAAACATTTGTTCATCAACAAGACTCGCCGTGCCTCTTAGTTCCCGCCTGCTTCTCTCACCGACGTGCCCCATTGGCGAAATCAGGCGCCAGATGCTGCTGCTCTCAACAGTTTTCTGATAAAAAGAGTTCCCAAGGAACAGAAAGCTTGTTGAGAATACGCTGAGTCTCAAGCTCGGCTCTCATAGACCAAGATCTGCTGACTTAAAGATGATGATCAATAGCCCTTGCATGAATATGCTAATTTAATTACATATAGTAAACCTCCGCAGACGCACGCAAGAAGAATCTTGCGGCTTAAAAAGACAAGAATCTGTGCTGATTGCCATCAAGTCCATGCATCAGGTTTGACCGTCATCGGAGACAGATAATACGTTGCTCCCACTTTGATATGAATACTGTGGACCAGACACATCAAGTCTAATGCAGAAGACAAACATGTGCGAAGACATGAAAAGCGGACATAGAAAGGACATAATGTACCCAGGTGGATTAAAGCTACCGAAGAGTGACATGTCGAAACCACATAATTGCCTAGGAGTAGTCAATGTTTAAACTAGGATGGGTGTGTTCGTAGCAAGCGAGGTACTTCGCATCGAGAAAAGCCTTCAGTGGCCTTGATGGCAGCTTTATTATAGCTGTAGGTAGAGGTAGTACGGAGAATCGTGTAGCCCATAGAGAACATATAACTATGGCTGCCGTTATGGCGTGCAAAATGATGTAAAGTTATGCGTGATCAAGATCAACGTCTCAAGCGAAGGAAGATTCTCTGACTGGCGACTTTTTTGTCTGCCAAAACGAATCTAGTTCAAGTCCCCCTCGGGCTTAAAAAGCCTGGGATGTCTCTCCTACGAGACTGTACGTGATCGCTATAGGAAAGGGGTGAATAAGAGAGGAAATCCTAGGGTTGTCATCAGTTGAGGGGGCGATGGTTAGAGGGATTCACTCCTCAAGAAAGCAAACGAAGCATTGCTGGGCCGTAAAAGATTCGATTACCAGCGCGAGATAATCATAAGGTACCCAAAACTGCCGAATGATCTAGATGCGTGGCATAGCAAGTCGCTCTTCCAACATGACTTTCAGGCCCTGAAAGCCTTTAATCTGGGTCGTGTTTGAAAATAATTATGAAAATTACTTATCAACTCTCCAGAACCCAGAATGAAAGTCGAGTTTGGATAATCCTGAACGGTAAGTCTCCTAGTATCTGATTCTGGCTTCGTTTTCGAATGTTGTCAAGTTCAACTATAATGCAGGCTGATGCAATTTCCGTTCATGTGGCTCTGAGGACTCATCAGTGACTGATTGTAAGAATCGTTTCAGCCACAACGGAATGAACACACGAGCGGTTCACTCTACCATGGTATTGGGCGAAAACTTAGCGTTCCACAACTGTTGAATGGCCGGAGCTGCTTAATTCGTACATGCTTTAATGTGAATATTCAGCGCTTATGCCATTCTGTTAGACCACCTAAG